TTAATATTATATTATGTTTAATAAAAAGCATTTTAAAGCTTATATATTTTTAATACATGTTATTAGACCTCTTTAATAGTTTAAAATTTTGAAAAAAATTTATAGCCTTGTTGTTTAGAAATTAGAAATGCAATTGTAATAAAATATTATTTAAAATTAATTGAAATTGATTAATTGATTTTTTTAATGATTGATTTTTATATCGTGTGACTGGCCTCCAATTATTCGAGTAATGCTTATAAGTGGTAATGCTTGAATAAATACCCACTCCTTGTCATCTTTCTCTCCTTTCTCCCTATATTTTATTAAATGGACTATTTCCAGTGTAAAAACATTTAATTGCACTTTTAATATGATGAAATGATGTTTGATTTTGGTTTTGATAATGAGTGAAAATGCCTGTAAAGAAAAGCTTGGTTATTAACCTTACCTAGAAAAAAGATTAGGTGGGCTTTATAAAAAAATGAATTTTTAATTAGAACTTAATTTTTTTATTTTTACTAATTTTATCAAACAATATTTATGGATTAATTTAATATTTTTTAGTATACTTTCTCATAAAAATCTAACTCTAACCATATTCGGGCTAGCCACATTATACAAGCCAATCTCTCTCATTTAAGTTCTTGAAAATCATTGGAAAACAAAAGTACTAGAATTTAAAATTTCTCTTGAATAGGAAAGTGTGTTTAACTTTTTTCCCTTACCTAACATCTCTCTTTGAAGCATAAAACTCAACTATTTTATTACTGGTAAGTCTAGTACTCTACTAGACCCAATTTTAAGAAAATACCAAAACAATATTTATTATTATTATTTTTAAATTAAAGTTTTGTTATATTGTATATATACTCAATTTCTAGCACTTTCAATTGATTTCAAGCTCAAATGTTGGTTCAAATTCAAGAAACATGCTCTCAATTTCGATGAAACTTTGAGATGATTGACCTTATTGCCCTAAATCCCAAATTTATATAAAATTAAACAATGACATAGCCTAGATATACTTACAAAGCGTTCACTAAATAGATACAAAAGTTAGTTATCACCAATATGAGGGTGTAACCATTAGCCCTAAATCCATTGATAGGACGACTGAGTATATATGAATTTGTGTATGCAACATATACCAATTCTCTAAAATCTTCTAAGGTTTGTAATTTATTTGTTAACTATGGCATGACTTAAGCCTTTTGATTAAAGTAATTAGGCTAATAAGAAGCAAGTAATGATATAAAAGCATAGAAGCTCATCATATAAGATCGATTAATCGAGAAAATTTAAAAATAGGGAAAAATAAGTGAGAATAAAGCATCATATAATTTTGTTGTTTTATTAGTAATGCATTAAAATGTAGTCCCACTCATTTTAGCTATAAGGATTTTCAAATTCATTTATGACTTAAGAAAGCTAAGTTTAGAGATGGTCAGATTTCCTTTCTTGATTAATGTTGGAAGGATCTAATCCTTCAAGTATAGGAGCTCATGTACGTAAATTCCTTAATCCCTAAACAAATCTTGTAAGTTTTAACCAATAAAATGGAAGTAGCTTCATTGTATCTCCCTTAATCAACACAATAAAAAATTTAATTGAAATATGTGATGAAGAAGAAAAGCAATTTGATTAAGCTTATCTTAGGGGACACAAGTCCGTTACGAATCATTTGTTATAACAACACAACATGATGAGCCTTTATCCATTTAATTTATTTTAGATAGGATATAATACCATAGGTTATGTTAGAAAGTATAGACATATGACAAAATCATAATTTTATTTTGTTTAACGAAATTCATAAGATTTTGCCATGAGCTTTGTCATTAACACCAAATTTAATGAAGTTATTATTTTGATTATACTTGATCAAGTACAATCTATAGAAAAATACTTTTAGAACATGATTCTATATTTTATATTAACAAATTAATATATAAAATTTTTTTAGATATAATGATTTCATAAAATCCCCAAAGTTTACAAACATTTTAAGTACTTTAACAAGCCTAAAAATTTTTCTCATGTCATGTTGACTCATGTTTTGCTAGTTTTTTTATTTACAAGGCCATTTGAATTGGTTACTATTTAAAATCAAAAGTAATATATTCAAGGATTTATAAACAAATCAATGGTGATTCCTTATAGTTTAGAGTGTTCATGAGCTATTTATAAATGTTATAGTATTCATTAATTATTTAAAAAATTCTGACAACATTTAGTATGTCTAGTTTCATAATAAATAGCTAAATTTGCTCTTATTTATTTATTTTCCTACTTAAATATTTTAAAATATTTTTTACGCATATGGGAAATCAACCCTTATTATTATGCAAACCTCTAAGAAGTTTTTTTAAAAGTAATTTGGTGATATAAGTATAAATAACAATTTATAATGAAATTTGAAAAGTTATTTAAAATTATCACTTTGCTTGTTATAGCTCTTAGTCTATACCATGTAATTTGTAAACATTATAAGTCATTTAGATGTTGCACTAATTAATTGAGAATTAATTAGGATAATTTTCTAATGTAAGTAATTAGATTATTAAATATTTTAGTAATTTAATGAGAAACATTTCTTAATCATTTTAGGAAAATTAGGTATATTTAAACATGTTTTATTAATTAAGTTTGTCCATCTCATCTTCTTATATGAAACATTAGTTTCTTTAAATTTTAATAAAAAATCATTCTTAAAAGGTAAATTAAAATTTATAATGTATTTGAACAATTACATTGACTTCATTATATAAAGGTCGCTATATAATTCTTCATGAACACTTCATACACTCATATGAAATCTTGTTATTATTAGTAGGCCATTGACCTGCTTTAGTTGACCACTCATACTATCTTTTGATCATTAGTTCTATATATCTATTATTTATCATTTACATTACATAGATAGTCTAAGTCCACAAATATTTTAGAACTCCTTGTAAATCAAATACTTGTTTGCATTAATGAAAATTAGGGTTTGAAATGGATCAAGCTCTACCCTTTCTGATCACACTAAATGGGTTTCCATTATTGGAGGTCTAACCACTATGATACTGCACATCTTAAGAACAACTAAACAACATTTCAAGATAGTTTTTTTTTCTCTCTCTCAAGGTCCAAAGATATTTAATGCAATGATACATATTGAGACACTTCTGGTAACCATTAGGGCTCACCCTTCTCACATAATTACCATGTATATAATAATAAGATTACTATTTGAATTAATATATAGCTTAGTAGACATGTATAGTCAATCTATAACTTACTCAAATCATTATAATTTAGTATAGAATTTATATAGTCATATTTTTTTGCTCTCATTTCTAATCCTTTTAAACTTACTCTCTTAATTGAGGATTTTATTAAACTATTCATGTTGATTTGAATAAGTCTAAGTGTAGTATAGTCATGTCATTTTGGCTATGTTAATCATCCTTCTTGTCATACAATTCTAAACAAACAAACTTTAGCATAGCCATGTTCTCACGGCTAAGTCGTTTTCTATTGAGGTAATCGCTTGTTGACCTTGCTAACTCTTTAATGACCCTCTTGTTAGGACCTTTTAGAAAACGAAACCTTTTTTGGATGAATTCAGTTATGACTCAGTCATTTTGTTGTTTGGTTGCACCCAATAGTTAAGCTCTTTGGTTCTAAGTATACACTTAGTCTTTGATTAATTTTTTCTTTTCTAATTCAATAATTTCTACCTATAGTTATTCTATGCTAAAAAAGCTCTAAATCATTTTCTAGATTTTTAGATTTTCTTTCCTTTCAAATGATTATACTACATTTAAATGCTTAATTTTTATCCATATAGTTACTACATTCAACTATATCTTTTATACATTATTGCATTTGCATATGCATGAGTTTAGTTAGCACAAACTAATTTGAGACAATAATTTAAACATATTACAGAACTTACAGCTTCCATGAGTTTAGTTAGCACAAACTAATTTGAGACAATCATTTAAACATATGACAGAACTTTGACACAGTTAGATGATGTGATATATCAAACACTTTTGTTGCTAACTTAAATCTTGGTGTCATTAGGTTGGTAATGTGCTAGAGACTCGTTTTGATTATCCGAACAAAGATCAAACATCATCCAAATAAACTTCAAACCATATTGTAAGCTTATTTGAATCATGCATGAAACTCACTCTAGTCATGCTCGACCTCCTTTGAACATGCTTTAAACATTATTCTACAATTGCTTGAATAAGTTTTGAGTATGATTCAAACCAATACCTTAGATATCATTGACTCATTTTGTTTAGCTTCTTATGTATGTAGATGCCCAATATAATAACATCTCCATCTATATCACCATCACTTTAAACAACAGACCTAAGATATCTAAAACATTCACATTTGTTAATGACTTCATCACTCATGGTTATAATCCCCACTAGATTTAATATTACCGAAGTTGTATGCGTTCAACGTATTCAATTTTAAATCTAAACGAACGAATGTTTTTAGATATAAAGTTGCCCTCTATAATTCAAGCTTTTTTTGAACCCTCTAATCTTATCTAAAAGGAGAATATCATCAAAGAAAACCATACTCCAAGGCACATTCTTCACTAATATCCAATAAGAGCATTCATAACTAAAACATAAAGATATTGCCTTGAAAGCAAATTCTTAATATAATCCAACAAACATACAAAAATACTTGGTTAATCCCCGTGATATATGGAGGCCTTCTTAAAAAATGATACAATAAAATCACCATGAATCCACAAATGGACCAAACTCCGGATAAGCCCTAGTATTTCCCAGCCGCAGGGAGTCACATTTTTCTTAGGGACGTTGCTGTCGAAAACTGGACACGTAAGCCTGCCATAAAGAACGTGTCCAAGGCCTTCGCTGTCTTCTCAACCCCATCTCCTCCTTTCTCCCTCCTTTCTCCCTCCTTTCTATCACTCATGCGGACGAGGTCATGAAGCCTTGGCAACCTCCATGTGTGGCTGTTCATCCTATATTATGCAGAACCTGAAGGCAAGAATAAGAGTCCACTGAGGATCATGCAAAAGCAGGGATGACTAAATAGTACTGCTGGAGGAGAAGATGTCGCTGGTGTTATCAGTAATGAAAAACAAGACTGGACCAACTATGGGTTTAAACCAGCACAAATCCGGATTACCTTTCTTTATTCATAGCGAAAAAAAGGACCAGTCAGATGTGGAGGCGGAAGCATCTTCACAAAGTTCTTCAATCGGGGTATTGTCTTCTTCTTCATCCATACATGAGGATGAAAGGGGAGATGAGGTACAGAGCAAGCTAAAAAATGAGGGCCTTTTTGCCACTCTGACTTCTTTGGAAGAGACCCTTCCTATCAAGTAACGCTAGTTCTTCTCCCATTAGTTTAAATTTCTAATTTTTTCCAAATTTCAAACATGTTTATCGTTTTCTGTTGTCAATTTCTATATGTTCGGTGGAGGATTGCCAGTAACCAAGCATGAAAAAGTTATAAATGTTCCAACTTTAAGAAAAGGAAGAAAAAAAAAATGAAGAACTCATCTGTCTCCATATTTTTGCAGGAGAGGATTATCAAAATTTTTCTCTGGCAAATCAAGATCATTTGCTAGCCTCGCAGAGGCTACTTCCTGCAATGCGACGGATCTGGTGAAGCCGGAGAATCCCTTCAATAAACGCAGGAGAGTTCTTGTGTCCTGCAAGGCTTCATGGAGGGGACGAGCTCCTTGCACTTCACTTGTAACATCCTTTTCTCCTTTCCTCTGTCCTGGTTTTGTAAAAGAAGATGAGGTGGAAAATGAAGAGGAAGAAGTGGAGCAGGAGTGGGGAACAGGCTTTCCCTTTGCTCCTATCCCAACTTTAAGAAATAGGTTAAGGAAGCCCAGAACACACTTTTTTTCAGATGTTCAAAAGCTCTAGTTCTTTTAAATTGGAGATCAAATAAGCAAGTTCTTGATCTCTGTCTTGTTAAATTTTTCTCAATTAATTTACTTCTTATTATTCGCAATCTAGTCGTGAAAAATACCTTTTGTATTTTAAGATCTGATGATTTTAATCCATCTTGGTAATTCGCAGCTTTGAAGCTTAATAATTCTGAACAAAAGGATAAGATTTAGACTGATAAGGGACCGCTTCATGTGCTCGTCATTAAATTGATCTTAGCTCTTTGCTTTCGGAATATCCTCTTTGTACCATCTTCTTCCCTCGATTAACAAGATTAACCAATATGTAATAATAATAATAAAATGCATCTACCCACAAACCACTTAATTTTGAAAAAATATTACATCAACTCCTAACGTAGGGCTACGTTTAGATTGAAAATTTAGCTGTGTTATGAGAATATTTCATCTGTGTTATTTATAATTGAAAATTTAGCTGTGTTATGAGAATATTTCATCTTTGTTATTTATAAAAATGGTGTGTTATTCGAATATTATATGTTGTTATTTGTATTTCATCTGTGTTATTTATAAATTATTTTGCGGTGTTATCGAAATATTTCATCGCGTTACTTGATTTGGGGCTAAAGTGTTATTGAAATATTCTCTCGCATTACTTGATTTGGGGTTGTGTTATTCCAATAATATATTGAAAATTGAAATAACACGGAGAATATGCCGAATAACATAGCCAAAAATCAAATAGGGCGATGAAATATTCCAATAACACCACAAAATAATCGAATAACACCATATAATACTCGAATAATATATCATTTTTACAAATAACGCAGATGAAATATTCCCGTAACACAACCGAATATTCTAATCCGAACGTAGTTCTACGTTAGGAGTCATGATGTAATATTTTTCCGTTAATTTTTATGTACCTACACATCTAAGACAAACTGTATTTTTTTTACATTCACACCTCCTAAATCTTTCTGTCACTGTCACATAAAAATATGATTATTTTAATTTTTTGAAGTGAAAAATATATTTACATGCATAATTAAAGTGACATGTATATATATATAAATTAAAGTTATGGAGTTAGATATGTAAATAAATTGGACTACGTGGGATGAAAATAAATCTTAAAAATAGAGAAAAAAAAAAAAAATTGGTGAAGTGGGTGAGCTTGCATTTGTCCGGGTATGCAAGAAGATAAAAGGCGATTGTTTTGTCAACAAGCGGACGAGTTTGTAATTAGAGGCTTAGGGGTTTTGTTTGTATAAATATGTATATTGAAAATACGGAAATTCTTATATTTTAGTGCATTAGAATGTGACATCAAACTTTGTTGGACCATTTCAGGCTTGATAATTTGCCTTTTGGATTTCAATCAATATATTTGAGTTCAGAAGTCTTATTTTTCTGGGGTTGTTTTTGGCAAATGTAACTGGCAAATTTTGTTTGTGTGGTTTACCAATAAATTTTAGCGAGCGGATGTTAGAGGGGAGCAAAAGGTGAAATGAGGTGTCGTCAAAGAATAATACTTCAGAGATAATATTAATTATATATTAATGTAATGAGCTAGAGATCCCAAGAGATTCATATGTAATGTTCACTTATGTAAATTACAGCAGAAAAACCTTCTTTGTTTGAGCGAATGAATCAATGATCATGTGGCTTAGGGCTAAGTGGGGGATCCGAATTTCAATTCATTTGCTTGAATTTTTCATCTAGGGTGAATTGGTAAGGAACAAAATCTTTTTTTGCCTCCTTTTTTTTTCTTCATCCTACTCTTATCTTATTCTCCTACATTTTCTTCTTACCTTCACCTCATTTCTCTTGAGAGTTGAGTGAGTATAAATGATTTCTTAAAGGATCGTGAGCTCTTTTGGCAAACGAGAGCTTTATCAACACTATAGTGTGGGAGATGTTGGGTAATGTGGAGACCCGGTATACCGAAATTTAATTAGTTTCCTAATTAAGAATCCCACCTACCACTCACATACTTTCCCACATACTGCTCACCTACCACATCCCACATATCGCTCACCTAGCTCCCACCTACCACTCTCTTGATTTCTATAAATAGTCTCTTATGGCTTATCATAAGATATGCCAAGGGCAAAGCCAAACAAAGCCAAGCAAGGTCAAGCCAAGTCCTCTTGAGAGCTAAGAGAAAGAGAGGAAGAGAGAGGGAGAGAGGAAGTGAGAGAAGAAAATAGAGATTTTCTTGTAAACGTCGAGATGCTTGACGGTGCAATTCTTCGAAGAAATAAAATCCTCTGCAGCTCCGTGGACGGAGAAAAATTAACCGAACCGCGTAAATCTGTGTGTCGCTCTGGTGTTTTTTCTGCGTGTAATTTTTTCGTTCCATTTTTCACTTTATTACCGTCATTTTTCACAACAACTGGTATCAAAGCTTTGGTTCGAATCTAAGGAAGAACGATTGGTGGAGACGAAGTAATAACATCGAGGATCGAAAAGTTCAATGACACAGATTTTGTTTATTGTAGGATGTAAATAGAGGACTACCTCTATGGGAAGAAACTTCTTCTTCCGTTACTGAGAAAGCGACCAAAAAAGATGGACGATGCGGAATAGAATCTGTTGGATCGACAGGTTCTGGGGTTATACGATTAACCCTATCGAGATCAGTTGCCCACAACGTCATCAAGGAGATGACTACTGCAGATCTCATGCAGCTTTATCAGGTATGTATAAAAAGCCATCGACGAATAACAATGTGCATTTGATGAAAAAGTTATTCAACTTGAAGATGGCGGAAGGTGTGTCTGTTGCTCAACACCTAAATGATTTCAGCACTATCACAAATCAGTTTTCGTCTGTTCAAATTGATTTTGATGATGAGATACATGCACTGATATTGCTGGCTTCATTGTATTGCTGGTTTCATTGTCAAATAACTAGGAAGCCATGAGGATGACAGTTAGTAGTTCTGCAGGTACATCTAAGTAGAAATATGATGATATTCGTGATTTGATTTTGGCTAAGGAGGTGTGCAGGATGGATTCTGGTGAGACCTCGTGCTGGTGAGAGTGAGACCTCGTGTTCAAGTTCGACGCTGAATGTTGATTCCAAAAGGAGATCACATGACAGGAACTCAAACAGAGGAAGATCAAAATCAAAGTCTGGTCAGCAGACAACCTGCTGGAATTGTGGTAAGGCTGACCACATAAAAAGGAACTGCAAGAATCTTAAGAAGAAGGAGAATGATGTCACTAATATTGTAACTGAAGAAATACAGGATGTGCTATTGCTGGCAGTTCACAGTTCTGTTGATGACTAGATACTGGATTTAGGGGTTTCCTTCCATACATCCTCTCGTCGGGAGTTAATACAAAATTATGTTGCAGGTAACTTTAAAAAGATATATCTGGCTGATGGAAAAGCTCTAGACATTGTGAGGATGAAAGATGTTGATATTGCACTCCCTAACAAGAGCAAATGGACTTTACAAATGGCCAGACACGTTCCTGAGTTGAAGAATAATCTCATCTCTGTTGGGCAGCTCAATAATGGTGGTCATTCGGTAGTGTTCTCAGATATCACCTAGAAGGTTACCAAAGAAGCATTAGTACTGGCTCAGGTTAAAAAACTGACACACTATATATGACTACAGGTTTACTCAGGAGAGGACACATGAGTCAAAGGTCCATTATGGGGAAGCAGAAGAAGGTTAATTTTTTGTTTTTGAAAAGTGGTAGAGCGCCAAAGGCAGGAAAATTGGATCTTGTACAGACAAATGGTGGAGAACCACATAGTTATGAAGAAATCTTGCAATATGAGAATTCGAGCAAGTGGGAGCTGACCAAGAAGGAGGAGAGAGATTCTCTACTAGGGAATCAGACTTGGGAGCTGGTAGAACTTCTACTAAGGAAGAAGGCATTGCACAAAAAGTGGGTGTAGCAAGTGAAGACTGCGCTTGGTGGCAGTAAGAGGTACAAGACTAGACTTTTTGAAAAAGGCTTTCAATAGGGGCAGGATATTGCTCATGCAGTGGGAGTTGTAAGCAGACAGGGGAGTAACCCAGGAAAGAGCTTGGTGGTACAAGGCTACGTTGACAATGATATGTCAACTGAGGGTGTTACTCGTGAGAAGCTAAAGTTGTGCTCAATTTCAGCTTATCTTCTGGCATGAAGTCAAGACTTCGAGTTGCAGAGGTGGAGGATATCATGTTTGAGGAAAAAGTCGGTACAACTAGTAGATGATGCAACCAGTAGGCGATGCAGTCAGTGTCCTAGTCTCCAAGTAGGAGAATTATTGGGTAATGTGGAGACCTGATCCACCAAAATTTAATTAGCTTCCTAATTAGGAATCTCACATACTGCTCACCTACTTTCCCACCTACCGTTCACCTACCATATCCCACCCACTGCTCACATATCTCCCACCTACTGCTCTCTTGGTTTCTATAAATAGCCTCTTATGATTTGTCATAAGCTATGCCAAGGGCAAAGCCAAGCAAGGCCAACTCAAGTCCTCTTGAGAGCTAAGACAAAGAGAGGAAGAGAGAAAGAGAGGAAGGGAGAGAAGAAAATAAAGATTTTCTTATAAACATCGAGGCGCTTGACGGTGTAATTTATTGAAGAAATAAAATTCTCTGCAGCTCCATGGATTCACTCCGTGGACGTAGGCAAATTTGCTGAACCACGTAAATCTGTGTGTCGCTCTGGTATTTTTTATGTGTGCAATTTTTCTCGTTCCATTTTTCACTTTATTGCCATCATTTTTCACAATAGAAGGAGCAACGAGCAAGAAAAGAGCATGTGTCCAAAACCATCATGAAGGTGAAAGCTCTCGAGATCTCTTATTCTTTCTTTATGGAAAGCCTTCATAGGATTTTGTGTAAAGGTTATAGATCTATGCTGGTGTTAGAGAAAAACTTTGGTTATGAAACTCTTTTGTTGTTCTCTCTACAATGAATAGTATTTTTTCTCCGTAGTCATAGTCCTTAACGTAAGAAATACAAGATTGTAATAATCTCACATATGGATCAGCGATCCCACCATTTTGATTTATGTCTTGGAATCATTTTTGGCCTAGAGAGTAGAAGTCCCTTTGATTTCCCCACTATCTAAACTATGAGGGT